CGCCGATTCTGTCTGCCCTGTCTCCGGCCCTCCCTGCCCTCCCTCATCGGAGAACTCGTCTGCTGGAGAAGACACAGGGGGAGCTGCGCTACTAGGGGAATTAATCGCGGGCGAAGATGGCATAGAGGGGGGTTGACCTACACTGCCTGCATCAACACTGCCAACCTCATCGATTGTTCCACCAGAGATATCACGTCGCAAAAGAATGTGGGGAACTCCTCTCCCTAAAAGCGGCCATACCTCAGCTTCTATATCGTCGTCACGTTCCTCCCCTCCCTGCTCTGCAACCTCTATCGGCAAGAGAGACGGTTGCGGTGGAGGGAGCTGTGACGGCAACGCTTCCCATGTCACATTCCTCGTTTCCTGAATAGTTCCAGCCCTCGTAAGTACTCTATGACAGTCACGCGGGTGGTCTCTCGAAGGACCGACATAAAAGCAAGCCTCACCCTTCGGTAGCAGCTTAGACGGACGCTGCCACCTACAGTACGCCGGTTTCAAAAACGGATACGGTCTAGCATGACTAGCTTCACCATGCCACATCTCATACGGTGACTTACTGTCGGGATTAGCGGAACAAGCTGTGTGGTTAATTGCTTCGCAAGCCCAATGCATCGCCTCAGCCCATAGTCTATCAGTCTTAGGTAATTGCACATGCCCAAACAAAACTTTTGCCTGATTACGAACAGCCATTGCCGCCGCCTCAATCAATCCCAAACCACGCTCTGCAACACCGTTGTATTGGGGACTGTAAGCCGGGGTGAACTCTTGCTTAATCAAGAGCTCGTTGCACACGGACGCAAATTCTCCTCCGACAAACTCCCCCCCATTGTCAGATCTAACAATCTCAACCAATGATGGGATACCATCAGCACGCACACTTGCAAGGAAACTCCGGAAAGCACTCGCAGCGTCTGATTCACTTTTCAGGAAATACATCCATGTCCGTCTTGTGAAATCATCCTTCACTATCATGGGGTAATGTTTACCCCCTACGGACGCAACGTCCTTCCGCCCTCCCAGGTCAACAAAAACTCTGCCCAACTTTTTGTCTGATCTGCATTTTGTTTCATGAGCAATCCCTTTCTTGAATGCCTTCGACATCGAACATCCCGTACAAGCATGCATTTTACCGGTCAACTCGATACCTAGTCGCTTTGCAGTTGTACGAAGCAATCCCTCATGCGAATGAGCATAAATGTTATGAAACTCGTTCACATCCATCTTAGATTCATGCTTGGGGTTCGAAGGAGTGAGGGCAGTTAACACCGAACCAACAGATTTATCTTCAAGACGATACGCAGTCTTAATTAGCATGCCATCGAAGCTCTGAAAAATAGTATGTCCGTCGAAAACAGTCATCACACCATCAGGACCACCAAGCAAGGTAATTCCATGACTCACCACCAATCTGCGCTGGGAGAAAAGAGGTGATATCCCAAGTTGGGAGATTACAATACATGCTCCAACTCTACAGAAACTCAAATCAGCAGTCACAAACACCAACTCCAAGGTTCCAGACAGTGCTCTGGCTCAAGGGTAGAAAGTGATCTTTCAACACTCGAAATGCCTTGCTGGGGAAACCTGCATGCCTAGCCATGGTTTTGAGAGAGTTCTTCAAACAGTCGAACAAAATCCACCTTGATATCTCAGTCTGGCACAGCACACCCATGTATGTTGTATCCTTTCTCTACCCAGGGGGTCAGATCGAATTCAATGCTTGCAATCGAAATCTCTACATGTAGCACAGAAACAAAAGCCTCATACAGATTATTGTTGTGGGCACTCAGTAGAAACAATTGTGACCACGACGGATATGACACGTCCGTCCCGTCAAAAACAGAAGCTTTGGGAACTTTGAAAAGGACTCCTACCCAAGTTTTCTCCTGTGTTATTAATGCCGACCCCAGGAATATATGTGTTTCCACTGGCGACACATCCCCACCACTCACTCGATGGAGTAGATGGGGGCGGAATGGAAGACTGGCTACCTAAAGCCCCACTAACCATTCCCGGAATGGAAGACTGACTACCTAAAGTCCCACTAACCATTCCCGAACCGAAAGACTGGCTACTACCCGAAGCCCCACTAACAGTTCCAATCGAACCAAAGCTTGCAGCACCAGCAGAGGGACGATTTACAGCAGATGCATGAGGGTTCAAGTCTGAGTCTAGAAGACTACTACTCCCAACTCTCACGCTGGACATGCCAAGGACTTGGGCACTGCTGCCCTTACCTCCCGCAGTCCTGCCAGTAGCATCTACAGGATGCCAACCGGCGTCGGTTCCGCCGCTGGCTCTACCACCAGCAGAGGAACGACAAACAACAATTGCACGAAGGTTCAAGCCTGAGTCTGCAAGACTACTACTCCCAACCCACATGCTGGACATGCCAAAGCCTTGGACACTACTGTCCGTACCTCCCACAGTCCTGCCAGTGACATCCGATTGATGCACACCAGCATACTCTGTTCCGCCGCTTCCCGGCGCAGCAGCAAATGAAACAGAGGACTCCACCTGATCACCTCGTTGCCCAACAAGCGACTTGATTATGCTCGTGAGCTGGGACAACAGTGTCTCAATCGAATCCAGTCTCTCACCACCAATAACATCCCGCGAATCACCCAGAGGTGGGTAATCCACATGATCCCCAGCAGGCCCACTCATCACGAAGCAAGGTGATCAATCTTCCTCCGTTCAGTCTTGACGTACAGTCCAAGGGGACAAGCAGCAGTCGACTGGTTCGCTATAGCGTGTTGGTAAACTCGTGGCTTCTGGGGAAAAGATGTTGTATTGATGAGACCTTGGACCAGGAGAACAGGTCAAAAGGTGGAGTGAGCAAGGGTGGGGCGAGCACCGCAGCGCCGCAGCACCACCCGTCGCTCGACCAACGGACGAAAGCAGAACACAATATCGGAACACAACGACTCAACAGGGGCCAACGTACTTCACAACGTACCATGAATCCTCTGGTTGATGCACTATCCATAAAGAATACACTCGGGGAAATGCACCATCCACGAGGAGCATTCCTACAGAACGTTCCTTGCTGTTCTGATAATATGTGGCTACTCAGCGATCTGCAACATCGACAGTCCCTCAATTCAAACTGTCCAATCATATTGTGCTACGTTACTCTGTCGACACACACAGCAGCAACTATCACGAACACACGTTGGTCTTATGCAAACTGGACGTTTACCGTATCAACTTCCAGAAGAGTGATTGCGTGGTGGTGCGAGAGTGGGATCATTCTTGCGCGGCTCAGCCTGAAGTACTGTAGTACATACAGTAGTGCTTGCGCCACACTCGCGTATTTGGATGATGGCGGCTTGGACGAAGAGGGCCGGATCAAGGTATATCCTTTGTCATGATGAACGACACGACCAACTGGGTTCTCGTGAATCTGCTGACCGCCCGCTCGCCCGCCCGCGCAATCCTTTCTGTCATGGTGCAAGGCCTTGTTGGGGTGTGCCAAAGGTATGGGTGGGTGACATGGCTTCCCGCTTTCCGAGTCGGACGATGACCTCTCCCGTAAGACAAATTGGCCTGGTGTGCAGAGGGTCTTTCCTGTCATCACTTCTTCCGGATCAAGTGGTACGTACCACAGGACGATGCGCGGTTACTTGTGCGCTCAAGGCTACAATCCACGCCGAACAATGAGTATCCGGGAGGAGATAAGATAAGATGACCAAGGGATATTTACAGTGTAGTCCCAAATACATATAACAGATCGGACGTTACATGAGCAACACTGAAACCCATAAACACATGTAGATCTAGAGTTTTCAACAGCGATTGGGTAGTCGTGGTGAACTTACCTGCTGTACCTGGGGCGCCCCCGCGTCTTTCCTCTCAAGGAAACATGATTCGTTCCTCGCCGCACAGTCCTGGAATAGGAATGATGCCCTTTGGTCGGCAGGGATTGGAAGGAAGCGTCGTAATATCTCGAAATGGTCAATCTAGAGAGGTAGCCGCGCCGCGTGTTTTCGCTTGAGGAAGAATCTGCAATGGTAGCACACCGACACGCACGTTTTTTCCGCATTCCTCCCGTGTGCCACTCGATGCCTCCCGTACATTTCACCGTTCGCTGCCCCGCATGCCTGCAATAATATCTAGGGAACGCTCAGAACGCAATTCGGCTGAGTGTGGCAGTTAACATATGCATAAGACGCCGCGGCCGACGCACATACATCACTCGATTGGTGTGTAGCTAGAACTCGCTTGTCAAACCTAGGAAACATGTCTTCCGCCTCGCGGTGTGCTTTGCCGCAGCACCCCTCCTTGCTGCTGGGAGAGCGCCGTACGACGAGCACGATGCATGGTTGCATCTCAACGATATCCCTGTCTCCCCTCTTGCTGCTAAGACTATTCACCTCGCGCGTCGTCTCTTGCTTCTGGGTTGTGGCAGTAGGCAGAGATGGGGCGCTTAGGCGGCGGGAGGGCGGGAGAGAGAGAAGCACGGACAACGACGATGCGTACCACGGCGTGGGGACTGTCCACTCTAGAATATCTACAGGTGTACATTATTTCAATATTTCGCTCTCCATTGCCCCTTCTTGCGACAATTCATATGAAGTCACCCTCGTGCTTTTGAATCAGGCTGTACTACTGGTATTAGCTTTGAGTTTGCTCCGGGGGTCAACTCCACTGCGGACGGCTGAATATAAGCTTGGACCGCTGAGAGCGAAATCAAACTCGAAACATGCAGGCTTCTCCCCCCTCGAGAAAAACGCCGAGAACAGGCTGTGGAAATCCCGAAAATCCCCTGCGGCGAACTCGCCGCTTGCGCTCCCCGCGCTGACCTCGCCTCTAAGCAATGCAAGCAAGGTGTGCAGCCACAACATCCCACAGCCAACCAAAGAAATCAACAACAGCACACAATCGGAGAGGATTGGGGCTGGTAGGCCATGAACCGCGCGCGGGAGCGTGTGCGTGATGATGCTGCCCTGGTGGGGGAGGTTGCCTCGAAGGTATCCGCGGCGCTGGGGCTTGACAAGGCCAACCGCACCCTCGGCCGCAGCCTCGTCATAGCCGGGCTCGACTCCAACATCGCGGCGATCTTAGCAGCCGCGGCCGCTTCGGAAGGTGATGCTGATATCGGCACGGACGCGGGGGCAGCAGCAGCAGCAGCAGCAGCAGTCGGACCACGTCGGGGCAGCGACGACGACGCCGCTGCCGAGCTGGAGCGAACTGGAGAGGCCGCTTTTCGAACGGCAGCCAAGGGTTACGGCGCGCTGGGGGACAGCTTGCTCTCGGACGTGTTCGGCAAGGTCACCACCAGGCTGAGGGGGTCCCTGGTGCAGCTTCAGGCCATGCAGGAGGAGGAAAGCGGAGGTGCCGCGGAAGAGGACAGCGGTGGGGGGTTGGCGGGGTTCGGGAAGGCCGAGCGGCTGTCTAGGGGTGGGGCCGGTCGCGCGCTCAAGGGGGTTTTCGTGAAACGGCACCCCTTCCAGGTGAGGCATGCGTTCCTCGCTCTAGCTGGGGGATTGGGCACGGTGGATTTTTTTGGGGAGCAGTTCTCGCTGCACATAGTTTATAGTGTGCGATGGGGATGTTTTACGGTGTACAACCCCCCCCCCCCCGGCGGATGTTCCGTCTCGAAAGGGACGCGTGGTCAATGGTCAAATGACTAGCAAGCAACAAATGAGTACGCCCCCCCCCCCGCCGCCGGTGTTGTGCACCACAGACGTCCCTCTTACACAAGCAGATAAAGCTTGTGAGTGACGAAGAGTAAGATTGGGCGATATATTATACCCCGGTGTTGTGAACAACAGCTGTCCCGATTACATTCAGGAAAGACCTTGCAAGTGAGTAAGAGTAAGAGATGGGGCAACAGCGGTAGAGGTCGTGCCCGGTTGCTGCTGGCGAGCATAACCCCCGTATCAAACCCGTCAGGTAGCCATGGGGAGAGACTCGGGGGAGTAAAGGTGTGCCTGCCCTGGGTGTGTGAAGAGAAGGCATGGCAGTTTCAGTGGTGCCGCGCATCGATCGTAGTCTTCAAACAGCAGGGCCGCTGCCGTGACCAACGCTTCGAAATCAAGTGTGAGTCGAGGCAGATGGGGGGTCGGGAATTCCTCAGCGCTTTGTCGACGCCCGTCGTAGACTATGAAACGATGGGATTGCAGCAAAACGGATAAGGCTTGGCGCTGAATATACCTCGTAAAACGACCGCGGTCGATTCCTTTAGACTTTGTGTACAAGGATAGAAACAAGACATGATGGAGATGTACGAACGATGTTCGAGGATCGGTAGATATCGATCGACGTATAAGGAACGGATTTGGACCCGGCGATTCAGCTTTGACCTCTTGTGAAAAACCCCAGGATGTTCATTTTCGATCCTTGTGAAGAAAAATACCCGCGAGCATCGCTCTGTTCTCACTCGATCTCGACCTATACCTCAAGCCCGAAATAGTCAAATAGACGGCATCGCGGGTGCATCAACACACGAAACTCCAACAAGGCGCATCACCGGTAACGCTCACGATCGTACCGGGAGATCGACGTCGATCCCCAGCAACGGTGAATTATTCCCTACAGCGGTGGTGCTACTGTATCGATCGATCTTTCCTTCTTCTGCTTCTTCTGCAGCGGGTGACTGATGTAAGCGCCCTCTCCCTTCTGTACAGGCCCCGGCGCCGCGGACACAGCAAGGGTCACTCCTAGGCCTAGACAAGCTTGCCGCTCAGAAGAACGCCGAGAGGCAAGCGGCCCTGGAGGGGGCCGGGCTTGGGGGAAGAGGAAACGCTCGCGGGGGCGCCAAAAGCGGTAGCGGTAGCGGCGGCGCTCTTTCCTTCGCCGATCTGGATAACGCACCCGGGGACGACGACGGCTCCAGCGGTAACGGGGTACCGGGGGGCGACCGGACAGCGGCGCCGGCAGCGGGGCAGAAGGAGTCGAGGTAAAGAGTCGGAGCAGACGGGCGTTTTGTTTGTCCCGCTTCTTGGTGACGGCGATCGTCTCGAAAATGCATGTCCCGTCGCGGTCGTCCTAATATCGTGGCTGATGTTTTTTTTCTTTTTTCGTTCTGGACAGAAGAAAACAAGCGACGTATGTGCGCCCCCGTTTTTTTACCGGCGTGTGCTTGCTTTTTTGTGCCAGGCAGCGGAAGTACAGGTCGCGCCCGGGACCGGACACCCCGTCGCACCCGGGTGGCGTTAACCGGGAGGCCAAGGACAAGATCGACGAGAAGGAGCGCGCTCGCCGCCGGGGAGGAGGCGTCGCCGCCGACGTCGTCATCCCCGCCGCCGGCGGGGGGGGGGAAGGCGGCCGGTCGGGGGAGCGGGACGCCGACGGGCGGCGAAAGAGCCGATGGTCCGACGGCGGCGGCGGTGGGGAGAGCGGAGACGACCGCCATGCGCGGAGAGACAGCCGCAGCAGCCGGCGGGAACGGGAGAGGGACGGCCGTCGAGAGCGAGACGATAGAAGCAGTAGTAGCCGGAGTGGGAGCCACCGGGAGCGAGACGATGGAAGGGGCGGGGGGCGCGACGACTCCAACGGAGACCGTAAGAGGAGAGACGGCGGCGAAGGGCCCAGAAGCAAGCGCTCCAGGAGCCCCGGCGGCAGGGGGGGTGCCTCTTCGTCGTCTGGGCGGGATTCGGTGTCTAGGACGAGGAACAGGAGCCGGAGCCGGAGCCCGGAGAGGCGCCGGCCGCGCACGAGGGAGAGGTGGGAGAACGCCGTCACGCCGATGTGAGTTGAGTTGAAGTTGAAAACCGAGGCAGCTTGTAGCGGGAGCAGAGGGACTGGAGCTCGTGACGAATGCGATATCCACAGACGCACAAGAGCGCGCCTGTCGATGGAAACCAACCACAGCGGTAGCGGCTCCTGGGGAGCATTTACACGCGAAGCATCCGAAGCCCCTTCTTGTTTCCCTCCAGCGGGGCCATGTATCGAAACGGTAGGAGCACCAACACGCTGCCGCCCCATCACATGAATAGCAGGAACATTTCCACCTACATATCGGGAACATTAGCCGAAAGTTATGCAGCGCCAACACCGCTAGCCAACACCACGAGCAACGGCAACCTTTTACCGCCGACAGTGCATCGGAAACAGTAGCCGGGACCAACACCCTGCCGGCCTAACACACGACACATTATATAGGAATGGGAGCAGCAGCAGCAACAGCAGCAGCAGCAAAAGCAGAAGCAGCAGCAGAAGCAGCAGCAGAAGCAGCAGACAAAACGACGTAGGCCGGAGTCGCCCGTCGGCGTCGGCGTCGCTCGGGCCACGCCGCGCTGACGGGGGCCGCTCCGACCCCACCCGGGGCGGCCTCGGGCTAGACGAGTCGGAGTGGGAGGAGCCGGAAAGGTTGTCCTCGACGCCGATGCCTAGTCCAGTGGGGTCGTCGCGCGGTGGCGGCGGCGGCGGCGGCGGCGGCGGAGGGGGGAAGATGACACCCATGACGGTAAGCGTGCACGCGTGTGTGTGGAATTTGTTTTGGTTGTGGTTTTGACAACGACCGCGCTAGCCGGCTGGATTATTATGAGAATGTTTGTGTGTGTGTATTTGGGAGTGTCGACGGCGCTAACCTGCTGGCCGATGAGCAGATGTTGCTGTTTGTTTGTTGCGGCTTTTTTTGTAAAAAAGAGCTTTTGTTCTTGTATTTTGGGCTTGACTCTCGTGTGTTGTCGTCGATTGGACGCGGACTCTCATGCAAGGCTTCGTTTGGCGCGAAGTATTTATGAGCGTCGACAGTACCAGTTGTGTCCTAGATTGAAGGCGGGTAACCAGCAGCGTGGCCTTTTTTTTTTATTGACACTGACATTCGCACGCATACATGGCCTAAATGCATCGAGTGCATGGAGTAGGTTCCAAACGAATGTGGATTTGCCACCGTTCTGCACGCGTCATTTGGTTGATTGTTGCCACCGTTTTGTCACTGTGCGTTGTCGTTGTTGCTGCTGGTTGCCTTTGATGTGGTATGCTGTCCTAGCTGTAGTCCTTGGTATCGTCGTCGTTGTCGTTGCTGCTGCGGTGCGGCCGTGTGTGCGACCTCTGCTGTTGCTGCTGCTGCTGCTGCTGCTGCTGCTGCTGCTGCTGCTGCTGCTGCTACGGCCGTGTGTTTGACGTTTTCTCGCTTAATACGGGTGCTGCTCGTGCCGTCTTCATTTACGCCGCACTTGCAGGCGGTTACGGCAACGCCGACACCGACGCCGGGCGGGGGGTCGCGGAGAGGAGGGGAGGAGGATAGCGACGGTGGCTGGGATAGGCCGAGCCCCTCCCCCCGTTGGGGCTATGATAGGCCAAGCCCCGCGCCGTCCATGCTGTCATCGAGAGAGGGCAGGTGACAGCAGCATTGTTATTTTCATTTTCCTTTGAAGATGTGTTCGTTGTGGGGTTTCCATGTAGCCCGGCCATCACGAAGGCGAAATGTGCACTGGTTCCTCTGTTGTTAAGCTTTTGATTGATTCGTAAGGCGCTCCTTGGGTGATGGGGCTGTCTTCACGCAGGGATGTGCTCCTCTTTCTTCAGGCTTTCGTTATCAGAATAGCTTGAAAGTCTTGTTGCCTCCTGCATGACCCCGGTCGGTTGGTAGTTCGATGAACACCCCGGACAGTCGAACAATCGACGTACAGAGTACACGGGATGGGAACACAAGGCGGCAGCAACAGCAACAGCTTCATACGAAGTATATATGTTTGTCATCTATTGTTTTTTGAGTGTTTGCTCTCAACGTTTTTTTATTTTATTCCACGTCCCACGTGTGTTCCCTCCCCGCACCAGCAAAAGCTTCTGCTCCACGGCCAAAAAAGGTGCTCGGACTTTGCTCACCCGGAGTCTTGCGGATGAAACTGATTTGTTCCGCAAGTATACACAGCAGTGCGGTGGCGCGAGCACCTTGTGGCGAAACACTGGCGAATTTTTGTTAGCTTTATCCCGCGCCGGCCCAAGCCCCGTAAGCATGTACCCCCCCCCCCCCCCCCTGCCCCCCCCAATGACATCCTTGGTTCTTTCCCACGCGACAAAACGCCTCCGGCAGGGCGGTACGGGGAACGGGGATGTCCCCCGGCGGCAGAAGGGACGGCGACCTCCTCCATCATGTACGTGCTTCCGCCCCACCGGTAGTAAGTTCTGCTGTATTTATTAACTGCTTCCCCTGGATGCGAGATATGTGGCTTGTACCATTGATGGCGTTGAATGCCACGGCGCTTCCGAGGTCTAAAGAGACGTATAGCATCCTCCCCCTCCTCCCCCGCCTGCTTCCTCCCTTCAAGCGTCACCTTTTGTTCTCCCCCCTCGCCACAAGCACGGCGAACTGCCGCCAAGACTTGGAAGTCGAGCAGCCAAAAACCGCCAGGATCGAGCACGACGTATCCTCGGATATTTTCATATTCTCTGCCGCCCCCTCCTAATGATTGGCCATGGGTGATCGGTCCTGTGGGAACCACGCTCCGTCCTGTCGAGGACGCGTGGTCAATGGTCTACCCGCTAAGGCATGCAAAACATAAGAGTACGCCCCCCCCCCCTCCCCCTCCCCCCTAACCCGCTTTTCACCATGCTCTTGTTTTTTTTTTTGCCCTTCCCTGAAATTTCTCAGCAAGACTGGGAGGTCGAGCAGCGCAGGACCGCCAGGATTGAGGACGAGGAGTACGACCGGGGCTTCTACCTGCGAGACGATGGGGGTGGTGCCGTGGAGGACTCGGAGACTGCCAACCCTTTCCTGGGGGACGAGAAGAAGTTCGCGGCCAAGGAAGCCGAGAACGCCAAGCTGAGGTGTGGGCACACACCAATTACCATCCGGAATCATTTTTTTTTTTCCCGAAAATAGTATATCAAGCTTCGGCCCATTTTTGTGTGTGTGTTTTTTTTAGGAATTCAGACACGGATCTTAATCTTATTGCCGTTGGGAACGCTTTTTATTGGACGTTAAAGGGGTCAAATTGTAGCGGCAGGGTTCATGGGAAGCAAGTGTGGTCACAATAATAGATTCGCCACCACGTACGTACGTGCGGAGGCTGAAAAGCCTGAGCCGGGGGAGCGGCGTGGGGGAAATTATTTGTGTTCTCGAAAGGACATCCGAAGAACGTATTTGTCGGAGTACAGACTTAGGGCTCGTACAATGCATGAGTGTGTCAGCAATCCCGCACAAAGCTCATATTTTGTTGGATGACAGACTTAAAAGAGCCTTGTTGCACCCGTAATCAGTACAGGGAGGGCGGGCAAGAAGTATTTCGGGGCCAAGAGTTAGTGAGAAGGCCGACCTGGGTGGAACCGAAGCCATCTCTCATGCCTACAGCGACACGTCGTTTGTTTGTGGAGCACGGGTGCTCTGTGTTTGAGGTCAAAGCAGCTCGGGCAAGGCAACTCTGTACTTTAGCAGCGCCCATGCTTCGAAGAATTTCCCAGCCGCTGCGTATGCTCTAGGGGCCCCGTGCATGTGTGTTCACCTCCGACTTTTTGTGCTCGTTGAACACCCGCGCGCGTGAGACAGGGCGCGGGGGGAGGGCAAGATCGCGAACCGCACGGCTAAGGCCAGCCAGATGAGCGCCGACCAGGATGCCTGGGAGAACAACCGGCTGCTCACGAGCGGTGCCATGTTCGCTGGGGAGGTGAGGCGTTGAGGGTGGGGGGAGTCTTGCAGAGAGGTAGATGTAAAAGTAGTTTTGTCTGCAGCGTTAACACAACAGTTGATGGAAACATGTTGAAGGCAAGGGAGTCTTGCAGAAAGGTAGGGTGGAATGGAAATAAACGAGTAGATTGTTTACCGCTCTGCAGTTGATTGAAAGGTACATAGCAAGGCGTATGCGAGGTCGAAGTATTTCTCCGAGGAGTTAAAGTTGAACAACAGGTGTTCTTTGCAGTGTTAAAGCTGTAGTGGATGGAAACATACGCCATGTCGAGTCACATTTCTTGTCCGAGGATTCAAGGGCTATAGGGGAGTCTACTGCAGCTGGGGAGGGGGGGTCGTTTGTTTGTTTGCCCCCAGCCGCAAGTACTGAACAGAACAGTCTCGTGAAGTTTGATTGCTGATAGAGTGATGTCATGTAGGGGAGTTCAAGAGCATCATTGCTACTGTATGTGAAATTAATTTGGCCTGAACTTGTCTATCTGTGGAGTATTACTTTCGCTTCGATAAGGAAATTAAGTTTATCCTTGGGATGGAGCTGATCGAACCGCTGTTTAGGGAGGATGTTTCTCGCAAAACGGACGTCTTGTTGCACCGCGACAGTCGTGACAGATGGACAGATGCACGTGGCTACGAGTGGTTGGATGAGAGAGCCGCCCGAATGCCGGGCCGCCATTGCTCCTTGTGAACGATGATGCGATGTTTGTTTCCGGGGTGATGGTTTTGGAGGAGATGCCCGCATCCCGTGCACCTCAACAAACACGCCGTGCCATGGTCGAACGCCTTCCCTACCGCCGTCATCTGCCAAACATGTCGCCATCGTGTCGTGTGGGACAGCAACACACACACAACAACAACAACAACAACAACAGCAACTTTCAGACGACAACAACATGTTGAAACTTGCAACAGGTTTCGCTGACCTTCGACGACGGAGAGGACCAGCGGGTGCAGCTGATCGTGCACTCTCTCAAGCCGCCCTTCCTAGACGGCCGCGTTAGCTTCAGCATGCAGCAGGTCGGTCACGGGGGGATTACAACCCGTCATTCTAGCACGCAGCAGTCGTTCCACGTTCCACGATAAACCTCATGTGTCTCACCCGATCTATGGATGAGGAAGAGCGTGCGGATCAGGCTGGGGTAGGGGGGGGGGGTTACAGTGTGTACACGAATGTCTTCGTTGGCCATTCTTGTGTGTTTTCTTTGACACATCTATTCGGCGTCGCCCAGTCTCCCATCGGTCCATCGATCTTGGCGTCATCATCAGCATATGTAGCGTGTGTGGGGTGTGTGCTGTGATTCCGAGATGATGCGTGCTGGTTCATTTAAAAGTTGCTATAATAGTGCGTTCGTTGTTTAACCCCGGCAGGTAGAACTCCTTCGGAGTCAGGGGGGGGCATGACTTGCGCGTGACGAAGTACTTCATTAATTGTTTCGCGTCAGGCTGTGGCAAAAACGCGTTCGACATCTTGTCGGTTTTGGGCGGTCCCAATGCGACCCGCGCCATTTCCGTTCGGTTTTGTCTTCTGTCGTCTGTTGTGCGATTTCTTGACCGCTCTCTCTCTCTCTATCTTGACATTTCAATCACCCTGTCTCGTTCCATACTTGCGCGTGACGTCACATCTTTTTTTTTTTTTTTTGTCGCCATTTCCGAATAACGCTCATGATAAGGGGATTCGGTTTGGTTGATTAGTTTGCTGCACTCAAGTGGTAAAAGTTCCATTAGACACAATGCCGTTGATGGGAAATGCAGCGTTTTTCAGCACTTTTTTTTTGTTTCTTTTCGCAGCAAATGGTGCCTACCGTAAAGGACCCGTCAAGCGACTTCGCGCTCTGCGCCCGCAACGGGTCTGCCACCCTGCGGCACCAGCGGGAGAAGCGGGAGAAGGGCAAGATGCGCCAGAGGTTCTGGGAGCTGGGGGGCAGCCGCATGGGCAAGGCCATCGGGGTGGAGGACAAGGCCGAGAACGAGAAGAAGGAGGCGGAGGCTAAGGAAGAGGTAACGCAAGCCTCTGTTTTTTTTTCGTAGGGTTGTTTTTGATGTGTTGGTGTTGGTGTTGGTGTTGTTCGTTGTTGTTGTTGTTGTTGTTGCTGCTGCTGTTGTTGTTAGCGTTGCCTCTCCTCGCTTGTGTCGCCGGGTAGTCGTAGATCCCGGCCCAGCTGCTGGAATCGTATTTGGGCATGTCCGAAGTGACGAGAAAAACGTGTAACTTGGGAGTAGGGCTAGGGCGGGGACCCCCGAATGTCCCCATGTGTTTGGTCGCTTGATATTTCTCCGCTTAGAGGTATCGGCTGGTCAGGGCTGTACGGCGCATTAAACAGCTTGCGTTTTGCATACAAGTAGATGTTTTTTTTTCGTAGGTCTTGCTTAGACGTCGTCGTTCAGCAAGAGGAAGAGGAGAGCGGTAGGGTTGCTTTCATAACCTTCGTCCCCTTGTTTTTTTTTTTTTTTTGTGGCTGTTGCTGGCTGAAATTTTGGGCATCACCTCTTGCTTTCAAGAAAAAGCCTGATTTTTTTTGGCAATCTTGGTTGCCCTCAAAAGGCGAAGTTGTAGTGTTGGTGTCACAACGCAATAGTGTTTTCTTGCCCCCTGGGCCGGCGAAAACCCGGAAGGCGTATCGCTCCGTCCCGACATCTCAGGGATGCGAGGTCAATGTTCTAAAGACTTAAAAGACGGCATGCGTTTACATGAATGCCCTCCACCCCCCCCCCCCCGCCAATGACAACGTCAGGAGGAAGAGACAGACTACAAGAAGGCGGCCGGTTTCCAGCAGCATATGAAGAAGACGGAGGCCAACTCCCACTTCAGCAAGTCGAAGACGATGGCCGAGCAGCGGGAGTTCCTTCCGATTTTCCAGGTCAAGGAGGACCTTCTTCGGGTCATCCGAGACAATCAGGTACGGTAACGCATACATGGCGTTTTCTCTTTTAAGCTTGTTTCGTTCACAGTCTTCTTTTCTTCTTTTTTTTTCGCGTGTTGTGTACCACGTTAAGTCAATGAGGACCTCCTTCGAGTCATCCGAGACAAGCAGGTACCATAGGTACAGTCTCCGTTCTTCCCGGGCTGGTAAGCACGACCACGTATCGCCTTGTGCTTCGATTCCACCAACCAGTTGTTCTCCTACCCCTTCTCATAGCAAACTAACTTACAACAAACGTCCCCCCAAACGTCCCCCCAAATAAAGGACGAATAACATTGTTCTGCTTCCTTCTTGGGCCTATTTTCGCGCGTTTTCTTGTCTCTTTGTTTTTTTGATAATTTTTTTTCAGGTGGTGATCATCGTGGGGGAGACGGGGTCGGGCAAGACCACCCAGATGACTCAGTACCTGCACGAGGGGGGGTTCACCCAGTGAGTCTTAGTCTTAGTCTTTGTATCTAGGCGTTGTTGTAATCGTTCTGAGAGTGGTTCACCCAGTGAGTCTCAGTCTCAGTCTTTGTATCTAGGCGTTATTGTAATCGTTCTGAGAGTGGTTCACACAGTGAGTGTCTTAGGATCCGTTATTGTAATCGTTCTGACAGTGGTTCGCAGAGTGAGTCTTAGTCTTAGGAGGCGTCACTGTAATCGTTCTGAGAGTGGTTCACAGAGTGAGTCTTAGTCTTAGGAGGCGTCACTGTAATCGTTCTGAGAGTGGTTCGCAGAGTGAGTGTTTGTCTTAGGAGGCGTTATTGTACTCGTTCGGAGAGTGATGCGTGGTAAGGGGGTTGTTGTTCGTCGAAATGAACGTTGGACGTTCACGCAGGCATTCATTTGCGAAACGCAACCTCCCTCGTAACCGGTGCGCCCTCCTTTTCTGATCCGTCTGGCCTTGGCTGCGCCCGTTAGTGTTCTTCTCGACTGACACCAAACGTTGGACATGGTCACATAAAATTGAGTAAAGCCACGCACACACGACTCTTGACCTGTTGTGTGTGTCCCAACACAACCCAAGGCATTCGTGAATTCGAGTAAAATCACGCACACAACACTTGTCTATTTTTATGCGTCACGACACACAACTCCACGGATTTGATGTTTACAATCGCTGCAACATCGTGTCCTGGTACGGCATGTTCTTTTCTTTTCCGTCAGGTTTGGCAAGGTGGGTTGCACCCAACCCCGTCGTGTCGCGGCCATGTCCGTGGCCAAGCGTGTGAGCGAGGAAATGGGCGTGGAGCTAGGGGACGAGGTAAGAATGACCCCCCCCCACGCCGCTCCTGACGCGAGCTCTCGTGTGCGTTAGGGATAAACGGTGTGGCTTTTAGGAACAACAAAGCCCCCCGCCCCCCCCCACCGCAGGGAGGGGGGCATGTTTCGTGGTGAGCGGGCCTCATGACTACTGTGGGGGACAGACAGCAAATTTTCTCCCCCGTGCCCCTTTTGTTTTATTTATTTATTTTTTCATGCGGAGGTAGTACGAACTGAGGGACGAGGGGTGTTCCACCCAAAGAAGCGGCGGCGTCCATGGCCATTATTCGAATGTAGAAACTGATGGGACCTGCTGCATCAAGTGAAGGCGATTTTGCACCGCCTGCGCGCCCAGCAATCCATCGACATCGCACCACTCCGAATTAAGAACTGACATCCTCACGAAGGAGTCGTTTTCCACCCGAAAAAGTGTGCATTTTTTTGTTGCCATAACTGAGAGAGAGTCGAGTCCCAAGCTTTTTAGTACTAGGTTTAAGAGGTAAACCATATAAAACGGCCGAACGGCTTGTTGCGCCTCCCTTGTTTACACGCACGCCCTGTAAACGTAAAGTCCGTGATTGCATCCACCCCCCCCCCTTGGGAGACGTTCATATCCTCACGAAGAAAATCGTTTTCCACCGCACAGCGGCGCAGTTCAAATTTTTCCACACATGGAATCCCACAGCTTGTTAAGATGCAGTAGGTTTGTTGTTATTGTCTTCACATTAAAAAAAAGGTTCCGTTCTCTCTACCCAGTACCTTCTTCTGTCCGTACTATTCTAACACTTGACGCGGTCGTACGAGGTTTAAGAAAGGGCGACAGG